CCACCAGAGGAATCAAACAGTTTGTCCCCTATCTCTTCATCATTGTTACAGAACTCCTCTCTGCCCTGGTTCAAAATGCCCAAATCCAAGGTCTCCTAGATGGGATTAAACTGTCAAAAAATGGGCCCTCTGTCTCCCACCTGCTGTTTGCTGATGACAGCCTTTTCTTTCTTTTTCAGAGCTGGTACGGATCAAGCTAGACAACTGCTAACTCCCCTTGAACAGTACAGACTCTTCTCAGGCCAAATGGTTAATTTGGAGAAGTCTGCCATCTTTTTTAGCAGAAACACACCCCAGTATCTCAAAGACAGTATTTGCAGAGAGCTCAATGGCATTGTACCTCATAGATCTACTAGGTACCTTGGCCTCCCGCTTGGAATAGGCCGGTCCAAAAAAGAGGTCTTTGACTATATACTTGTTTCAATCAAGAACAAACTGCATAATTGGAAGTCAAAGCTTCTTTCAGCTGCAGGTAAAGAAGTGCTTCTCAAATCTGTTCTTCAAGCCCTCCCCATCTTCACTATGTCTTGTTTCAAACTTCCAATATCCATATGCAATGAAATATCCCAGCTATGTGCACAGTTTTGGTGGAAATCAGGTGATCAAATGAACTCTGGTATATTCTGGAAAAAATGGGACAAGGTTACTTTGCCAAAAACTAAAGGAGGACTTGGCTTTCTAGATATCAAACTTTTTAATGAAGCCTTGCTATGCAAACAACTGTGGAGGATAGCTTCCAACCCCAACCTGCTTGTGAGTCAGATTCTCAAAGATAGATACTTCTCTAACAACTCCATTTTTCAAGCTGAAAAGTCTCAAAAGGGGTCATGGTTGTGGCATAGTTGGCTCTCTGTGATGCCACTCTTCGTCAGCTGCTTAAATATTGAAATCAGAGATGGTGTCTCCACTAGAATAACAGATCCCAACTGGGTTCCTCTCTTGAATAGGCCAACTCCTGAGCTATTTGGTTGGGCCAGGGAACATCTTATCTGGGTCAAGGACCTCATGCTCACAGATGGGCAGTGGAATGATTGGCTTGTTAAACAAGTGTTTGACACTACTGACAGTGAGGCAATCCTGAACATCAGCACAAACCATCCTAACAGGGCTGACAGACTTTTATGGAGGCCTGATCCAAAAGGTATTTTCTCAGTGGCCAGTACATATAAGCACCTTGCTTCTAAGAAACTCTTGCTGTTGGATATCCCAGAATCCAGCTCCACATCCTCAACTCTCCATCAGGCCATGGCAAAATGCTGGAAACAAAAAATCCTTGGGAAAGTGAAGCACTTTCTTTGGAAATGTCTCACTGGAACATTGCCTGTAGCCACAAATCTCATAAAAAGAGGTGTCTCGGTTAGCTGCATTTGTCACTTCTGTGGTGACCACCCAGAAACATTATATCACATCCTTTTCTCTTGCTCAAGAGCTTCTAGACTGTGGGAAATAGCTCCAGTTCAGTGGGATGGACTCCAGGACCTTACTCATTCATTCAAAGGCTGGTGGCAGCACCTTTGCTTAATCAAGTACACATATTTGGTCGAGGACAGAATCCAAATATCAACCTATATGCTCTGGTGGCTATGAAAGTCTAGGAACATATGGGTCTTCCAGCAATCCCTCATGCCAGTCCACTTAGTGATCAAAGCTGCTCTTAAGGACTGGTTGGAATTTTCCTTAATTTCTTAGTTGTTGTTTTGTTTTTCTGGTTTGCTCTTTGAGGAGTTGTTTGTGTTGTATTTCTCTTTTTGTTTTTGGTTGTTTGGATTCTAGTTTCCTAGCTAGGCTTGTTCAGCAGTGGGTAGGAGCTTGATTCCTTTTATTTTCCCTTCTAGAGTTTGGTCTTCTAGGTACCTTTCAGTACCTCTCAGTTTTTATTTTGGTCAGTTGGGTTATCCCCATTGTAATTGGAACTTTGTTCCCATTTTGCTTATATATAATTCCCCTATCGTTCTGGCAAAAAAAAAAAAATAAAAAATTCTGAACTTCAGTGAACGAAGTTTTTGGCTTATTCACCATCTTAACCAGCTCTTCATGTTTGATAAGTCTCTCTCAATGATAGAATAATGATGATGCAAGTTCACGGGCTCTTTTTTTATCTTTTTTTTTTCCGAAATGATAGAGATATTATAAATAAAACGCACAACTATGAAAAGCAGCCCATGGCTGAATATTACAACCCAGAACTAAAAACTGAGAGGACGGATTGGAAGACCGCCTAGAGCCTCGCTAGCCAAGCTAGAATAGAAAACACACAACACACAATACAATACACAAACACACCAACTACGATCGCTCCACACAGGAGAATTAAAACGCCCCTCACAGGGGAATCAGAACTGGGGCCAACAGCCCAAACCTAAAAAACAAGACCGAAAATAAAACAAACACAGACTCAAGACAAATCAACAACAAAACCAGACACAAACAAACAAAAATCCTAATAACATAAAACATAAACAACCCTTCCCCAGCGAAATGAGCAAGCTCGAACCAGCAGTGAACGATCAACACAAGACAAATCCAGGCCAAGAACCTGCTACCGAAACTGCAATCAAGCTTATACAAAAGCAGAAACCTAACACCGAACCAGTCCCCGAATTGACCCATCGCAACCGAGAAGCCAAGTCCGCCCTACACCGATTCCATTCAAACTCATCTAACACCACTAGACGAGGCCAAATAGAACCTCCCTCACCGTCCAACACCAGTAGACAAACGAGGAATTGTGAAGGGGAAAGAACCGGACCTCTCCCCCAACTCCAGCAACCAAAGGAAGCCGCGGAGTTCGGAGACCCGCCCCACCCTATAGCTTGTACTCCACCCGATACCACTGCAAACATCCAACGACGAGCAGCCCGGGCCCCACCAGAACAGGTGAAACCCACCGAAGCCAAATCCGAAAATTGCAAATAAACAGGAAGACAGGGCTTACCCTCACAAATCGCAGCTCCGTCAACATCGGAAAACGCCGACTTTACTCCGACCGTGAGGCGCACCATCGCCGTCCGAGAATTCATCTACAATCGCGAAATTGAGGCTACCGTCAATCGAACATCTGAGGCAGCAACAGGGGCGCACGACGCCGAGGGGAGGAGCGAGCGATTGAGACGACTACTAGATGAGCAGGACCGTCGCCGAAGAAAGCAGATTCGCCGAGAAAGAGGAGGCGCTGGTCGGGTTGGGGCTAGGCTCTTTTTTTATCATTATTCCAAGTTTATTTTCTAAGGAAACCACTTCAGCACTATTTTCAATTAACCCATTCTGCAAGGCAAGCATCTCGTTACGCAATGATATGAGTGTCGAGCTCTTTGAGGCCAGCTCGACCAGACATACCCACACAATTATCCTTCTACAATCGCTCTAAGTGCTATATCATGGTTGATTCCTCTCTTTCATATCTTGGGACATTTTGTTTATGTTAAAAAGTGCTACCAGAAAATAATGATTTGTTGAGAACATGGTTCGTTTCTTTTGGGTTCCACTGTGAAAAGAGCTTCATAAATAGAAAATGTTCTTTTTGGTTAGTTGTCTGTAGTTGCAAGGTTAGTTGTCTGTAGTTGCAGGATTCGTTGTATCTAGTTGCAAGGTTAATTGTTTGCAGTTGCAAGTTTAGTTGAATGTAGTTGCAAATTTAGTTATCTACAGTTGCAATGTTAGTTGTCTGTAGTTGCAAGTTAAATTATCTATTTTTGCAAGGTTATTTGTGTTTGAAAGGTTAAAAAAGTATTTTTTAAAAAATATTTAATCATTACTTAAATTTTTTTTAAATATATTTAAAATAGTATGAAAGGGTAAAAAAGTATTTTTTTAAATTTAGTATCTCATTTTAAAAAAAAATATATATTTAAAATAGTATGAAAGGTTAAAAAATATTTTTTTAAATAATATTTAAACATTACTTAAATTTTTCGATATTAATTTTATTCTATCTTATAACTAACATGGTATGAAAGCTTAAAAATATTCATTCAATAAAAAAACTATATTATATTTAGTTTGAATTTGAATTTTCAATGTTTGTTTCACAAATTTATTCTTAACAAAAATTTGGAGTTACTTCTACAATTGATTTAAAAATAAAATCTTTAGTATGATAAAGCATTGATGAATGTTGGATTTAAGAAAATATATAAAAATTAAAATACAACTAGGTGGCCATTAAAAAAATTAAAAAATAATTAGAAATCTTCGAATTCGAACTGAGTCGTTCTGATAGTCCCGAGAATCAAGACGCACCGAAAAATAAAAATATCCGAACTAAACGGAACAAATTTTTGGTACGTTCCGGAGATTAAATTTTAGTAATCTCAAAATTTCAGTACAGTTCCCGAAATTCGTCAATCTCTGAATCGGCAAACCGTACCGACCCATGCTTACCCCTAATATTCATATTATCAAGTATCGTATTATTTTTAAATTTTAACAATTCTTAATAAAGCATGTAAACATTAATTGTATCCATTTTTCCATGCCGAATGTGTTGGAATATGAGCTTGAGAGCTAAGGGAGCATGTGAAGTGAAGACTTTGTTGCAGCAGATATCTTGTTTGCATGTTTTTTCTTCTATTTTCTTTTGGTTAGCAAAAACGTTTGAGCGTTTTTTCCTTTTTCTTTTCTGCGTTTTTTTTACCTAGCTTGATACGACGTCGCTTAGGTTAAATAGAAGCGACGCCGTTTTACTCTTCGTGTTGCATGACTCATATGTATAAATATGAGACTGTACGTACATTTTGAGCTAAGAAAAAGGATACTGCAAATGGAGATTTTTCCTCCGCAAATTATCTGAAATTTCACATGGTATCTAGAGCAAAGATCTTTGGGAACCGCTGTTCAAATTTTTTTTCGATTCGATTTTGATCGACGTTCATCCTGTGAAGAACTGAGCTTGGTGTAAGCTGAGATCGATTGAAATGGCACAGCGCGCAGCAAATCCATGGCCGCTCCTCACCTCAAATGCAGAATCGCAGTCAAAATTCGCCGATTCAGATCCTTATCAGTTGAGTAACTCCGATAGTCCTGGTATGATACTTGTCTCGTATCAATTAACCGGTAACAATTTTCTATCCTGGAAGAGATCTATGATGATTGCCTTAGGAGCTAAAACAAAGCTTGGATTCATCAATGGTGAAGTTACGAAACCTAGTCCAAATGATTCAAATTTTGTGGCGTGGAGAAAGGTGGACTGGATGGTGTTTTCATGGATATTAAACTCAGTCTCAAAGGATATAGCAGATTCATTTCTATATGCAGAAAGTTCTAAGGAGCTGTGGGAGGAGATTTGTCAACGTTATGGAGAGAGTAATGGACCGATGAAGTATAAGTTGCAGAGAGAAATCACAAGCTTAACACAAGGTAACAGCTCTGTGACTGAGTATTTCAACAAGTTGAAAAAGCTTTGGGATGAGTATGCTTGCATAGCACCAATTCAGTCCTGTGAATGTAAGAAAAGGAATAAAGAAAAGCGCTCAAACGTTTTTTGCTAATACAAATCGATATAGAAGGAATAGAAAAGAAACATGCTGCAACTAAGTCTTCACTGCACATGCTCCCTTAGCTCTCAAGCTCATATTCCAAATGATGGCTCAACATGAGGCTGAGACTAAGCTGATACAGTTCCTAATGGGGTTAAATGACAGCTTTGACAATACCAGAAATCAAATGCTGTTGGTTGAACCCTTACCAACTATAAGTAAGGCCTTCTCCATGATCTTAACTGCAGAAAGGCAGAGAAGTGTACAAAATACATATGGGGAAAGGATAGATAATGTTGCAATGATGGCAAAAACTGGTGGAGTAGGAAGGGGCCAAGGGAGAGGAAACATGGGAGGAAGAGGTGGTTTGAATGGAAATCAATGGAATACAGGAAGAGGTAGGGGTGGTGCCAGATTAACCAAGGAGGAGAAGGCAAAGCTGCATTGTGAAAAATGTGGGATGAATGGTCACTCTATTGCTACATGTTTCAAAATACATGGGATACCTGAGTGGTATAAGGAATATAAGGATCAACAAGGGAAAAGCTATGCCAATAATGCAACAATGCAGCATGCAGAAGAAGGAGTGAGAGGAGGATATCAAGAAGAAACAAAAGGAAGAGATTTGGATTCTATCATCAAGCAATTAAATGAGCTGACCAGATATGTTAAAGAAAAGCAGGAAGGTATCAACAAAATGGAATATGCTCAGTTTGTTACCTTCACAGGTGTTGATGAAGAAGATCATGTCCACTATGCTCTATCCACAGTTGAAGGGAATGGATGAGACAAATGGATAGTTGATACTGGTGCAAGCAGGCACATATGCACAAATAAAAGCATCATGAGGAATGTGAGAAGGATACAAACATCAGTTGTGGTGTGCTTACCAGATAGATCCTTAAAGGATGTGATAGAAAAGGGTGAGGTCATGATTAATGAGAGCATAGTGCTACATGATGTACTATACATGCCATGCTTCAAGTACAACCTAATGTCAGTATTCCAACTGTGTAGCAATGACAAGCTGAAGTGGGAATTTGATAAATCACAGTGCACATTATATGAAACAGTCACTGGGAGAGTCCTTGGCCGTGGAGTTCTAGAAGGAAATTTGTATGTCTTCAAGGAAAACAGAAATGTGGAGGCATCTTGCAATTTAACTATGGAAGAATTGCATAAGTGCCTGGGACATGCATCCTTTGGAGCTCTAAAGCACTTGAGTGTGTTAGAAGGTAATAACAAAGGGAGTGAAGAGATGCTCAGAAGCTGTGAGATATGCATGAAAGCCAAACAGCATAGACTGCCTTTTCAAGGTAGTAACATCCACACTTTATCATGTTTTGAGCTTATATATGTTGATATTTGGGGACCATGTCAAGAAGACTCCATTACTGGTACACCATATTTCCTTAGTATTGTAGATGACTTCAGTAGGGGAACTTGGGTGTTTCTCATGAGAAATAAAGGAGATACTGGAAAGTTGCTGAAGTCATTTATAATAATGGTAAAAACACAATATGGTCTTGAAGTCAAGAGGATAAGGACTGACAATGGGAAGGAGTTTGGAAGAAAAGATTTGCTGGATTTCTATGAGGAGAAAGGGATAGTGCATGAGACCACATGTGCCTACACACCTCAACAAAATGGCATTGTTGAGAGAAAACACAGGCATTTACTGGAAGTTGCAAGCGCTTTTATGTTTCAAGCAAATCTACCATTGAAGTTTTGGCCCTTCTCAGTGCTTACTGCTGCCTATGTGATCAATAGAACACCCAACTCAGTGCTGCAATGGGAAACACCATATGAGAGGCTAACAAAGAGATTACCTGGGTACAAAGGTATAAAGCCATTTGGGTGTCTTGCTTATGCAGCAAAAGACATACCACATAGAACAAAATTTGGGGCCAGAGGCATTAGATGTGTCTTCTTGGGTTTTGCCTCAGGAAAGAGAGGATATCAGTTATATGACTTAGATTCTGATGAGCTTCTTATATCAAGGGATGTCACATTTGTTGAGAAATGCTATCCTTATCAGAAGGACACAACTGCAACTAAACAATTCATACCAGCACCCATAACAGATGATGATCACAATATCTCAAATGACAACAGCAATGAGCAGACTGAACAAGAAGAGATTATACAACATGATCCAGGAATAAGAAGAGGTGCAAGGATTAAAAGGGTACCATTGTGGCACCAGGATTACATTTGTCAGGTTTCAGCCTTCATGAGCAATATCTCACTTGAAAAGGAACCTTCACACTATTCTCAAGCTTGTAAGCACCCAGCATGGGTTGATGCAATGCAAAAAGAGCTTGATGCTCTTGATCTCAACCAAACCTGGGAACTTACCACACTGCCAGAGGGAAAGAAGGCTATAGGATCTAAGTGGGTTTTCAAGATCAAGAGAAAGCCAGATGGTTCAGTAGAGAGATACAAAGCACGGCTTGTGGCTAAGGGTTACAACCAAGTGGAAGAAGTTGACTACTTTGATATCTTCTCACCAGTAGCCAAACTTGTGACTGTAAGGCTGTTCATTGCACTCAGTGTTCATCATGGTTGGAAACTATATCAAGTAGATGTGAACAATGCTTTTCTACATGGTCATTTATCTGAAGAAGTGTATATGCAACCCCCTCAGGGGTACACCAAGGCTGATCAAGGGCAAGTGTGCAAGCTGCATAAGAGTCTATATGGATTGAAACAAGCATCTAGAGAATGGAACTTAGAGCTTTGTGATAAGCTGGGAGCTTTTGGATTGTTACAATCAACTTATGACCATTGTTTGTTCACTTTGAGAAGGGGTACAGACTTTCTAGCTATCCTAGTCTATGTGGATGATGTTCTTCTTACAGGATCTAATGCAAAGCTAATAGAAGAGTTCAAGGTATATCTTGATACAATCTTCACTATCAAAGACCTAGGAGTGGCAAAGTATTTTTTAGGGGTGGAGATTGTGCAACAACAGCATGGAATCTTCTTGGGTCAAAGAAAGTATATTTTGGATCTGTTGGGTGACATGGGAATGCTGAACTGCAAGACAGCCTCTACACCTTTACCACATGGTACCAATCTGAGAGAACAAGATGCTGCTTTGCTTGATCAACCTGACCAATTTAGGAGACTTATAGGGAGACTCCTATATCTAAATATGACAAGGCCAGATGTTTCCTATGTGGTTCAACAACTCAGTCAGTTTGTGGGATCACCTTGCACAAAGCACTGAGATGCAGCCATACATGTTTTGAAGTACTTAAAGGGGACTGTTGATCTGGGACTGAGCTTTATCAAAGGTGATATTTCTAAGCTTGTAGCCTTTTGTGATGTTGATTGGGCTGCCTGTAAAGATACAAGAAGATCCATTACAGGCTATTGCATTTCTTTGGGAGGGTGTTTGATTTCTTGGAAGAGCAAAAAACAAATCACTGTTTCAAAGTCTTCAGCAGAAGCCGAGTATAGAGCTATGAGCTCTACTGTCTCAGAACTCATGTGGATTTCTTATATTGCTCAGGACCTTGGTGCAAGTTTGGACTTTCCTATTCCTTTATTATGTGATAATAAAGCAGCTATCCACATCAGTGCCAACCCAGTCTTCCATGAACGTACTAAACATTTGGATATTGACTGCCATCTTGTGAGGGAGAAAACCAAAGCAGGCTTTGTTCATCCTATGCATGTTGGCACATTAGGGCAATCTGCAGATATTTTCACTAAATTTCTTGGGGTCTCGAGATTTCGACTTCTTGTTAGCAAGCTGGGCATGATCAACTCTCCCTGCCCACCTTGAGGAGGGGGTGTTGGAATATGAGCTTGAGAGCTAAGGGAACATGTGAAGTGAAGACTTTGTTGCAGCAGATATCTTGTTTGCATGTTTTTTCTTCTATTTTCTTTTGGTTAGCAAAAACGTTTGAGCGTTTTTTCCTTTTTCTTTTCTGCGTTTTTTTTTTACCTAGCTTGATACGACGTCGCTTAGGTTAAATAGAAGCGACGCCGTTTTACGCTTCGTGCTGCATGACTCATATATAAATATGAGACTGTACGTACATTTTGAGCTAAGAAAAAGGATACTGAAAATGGAGATTTTTCCTCCGCAAAATATCTGAAATTTCACAGAATGATATTAACATTACGCATCTATCATACGTTGTCGTCGATGATATACATATATTATTATAGTACATGAAACCAAAATTGGAAAACACAACTTCAAATAGAAAATTTAGCATATTTTAGCTCATGTCATTGATAGTGGATGTAGCGGTCATGTACATGAAAGATTGACATGGCTATGCGAAGCTTGCTAGCTAGCTAGGTGGTCCATCTACCTTTATATGTAATTGTATAGACAGTGTCATGTATCATTGTTAAGGATGCTCATGATTTCACGTTGTTCTTTGTCCAAAAATAGAGAGTTACAAAAACTACTAGTCTAATTCAGATTACACAATTCATTTTATAACTAATAAAACAATGAAAAGTTTTTTTTTTTTTTTTGACAAGTCACGAATTTATAGTCGAAGGTCGAAGAAAACAACAGTCCAAATAAACGAAAACAAAATGAAACAACGAAAAGTATATGTTGAGACTAATAATTTTCTCTAGATCGAGCCCAATTCTATGTAGCAAGAAATTGATCGAAATTTTCTTTTTCTCTTTTATCTCTTACAGACGTAACGAAAGGTCTGTGTCTGTAAAAGAATATTAATTAATTAATTACGACTTTTAAATTACCAAATGATGATCGAATAAGCGATAAGTAAAATTCTCCGTAAAACTTGTTACAATTGAAATTCTTGATTCACCCATCAGCTAGAGAAGTCCACCAACAGCATTAATATGATTTTATGTTATGACCTCTCATTTGTAATTCAAATGTTGTACGTGACTCGCATTAATTTTGGTTGTTACTTAGTCGTGGGGTACAAATTTCGCCTCAATTGGTTCAAATCATACACACATTGGTACCTATACTATACAGTTGATCACACACACGTGCCTGAGCCGAGAACATGCGTGTGCCCGCAGGCGGCCAAATGCTTGTCGGGGCCTTTTGTAGTCGAGAAAAGAAAGGCGGACGGCCATGATTTCGACTTATTGATGTTTGTATTTAAGGGCAGTGAGTGTGGGGGAGAAGACTTGACTTAAAAGACTGAAAAAATAAAAGGTAAATCTGTCTCCGTCGGCCGGGGGACAACGAAAGACACCCATTTATGGGAAAATAGTTCCTTATATTATATATAGTCACGGTCTTGAAAAGGTTTTTCATGTGAAATGGGAGAAAATAAAATGTTCTGCTCAATGGTAAAAAGGGCAAAAACGTAGGATGAAGAGAATTGTTAGTTGTACGCAAATGCAATTCTAACCGGGCTCGTGACAGCTCGAGCTCAACTAGTTCGTTTACTTATTAAGCTGAGCTGGAACAACTAATCCATGTAATTTATTAAACGAGTCCAATAACTCTTTTTTTTTTTTGAAAAAAAAAATGAAAAAGTCGTGTTGAACTTAATCATCAACATAGATTTTTGTATTCACCAGAAACTCGTTTAGAATTTTAGATTTATTAAACAAATCGAGCTTTCACAAAGTTAAATGAGCCGCTCAAGTCGAACCAGCTAGCTTGTTCGTTAAAACGAGCACATTCAATTTACTCGGCTATTTCGATTCTGGCTCGGATCAAACAACACACCTCCCACTTTCACTTCATTTCCCGACTATGTACGTATCAAAACGAGGCAAACTTTCACTAGAAAAACAACGAAATAAAATCTTACGGTACACATTTAATCGGAAGAATGTGTCTATATCGTTTCGTCCCTATTTACAGATTGAGAATTTCGTTTGAAAAAAAAAAAAAGTTAATAATAATAATAAAAAAAAAAAAATCTATGGCACACACCTGGTGAAGGAAGTATTAGAGCAGCAGCATTCTCTTTCTGCACATAGTATGTGGAATTTTTTAAAAAATAAATAAATAAAATAAATGTCAAGGAAAGTGCTCGAAAGCTGCAGCTGACAGCCCGTGCAGGAAATGCTTCCCATACATTTCTATATCCTGCAGAGACTCTTGCTGCTGCTGCTGCTGTTGCTGCATATAGTGATTTTGATGATGCCAATTGATTCCATTTCCCGATAAGGACCCGTTTTCAACCCCTTGCCCGAACAGTCCCTCAGCCGTGTTACCGGCACTATTCCCCATAAAAAACGGAGCATGCATATATTCGGCCCACTTGGCATCCTCTGCAACAATCCCTGGACCTAGCGAGCCCGCCGTGTGGCCCTCGTCGTCCTTTGCGGGCTTCCCGTAACTTTCCTGACCTCCCCAAGTCTCGAAAAACCCGTTGCTGCTGCTGCTGCCCGCGGCGTCCCAATTTTCAAACTTGACTCCATACGGCGGGTCAGTGCTCGCAAAGCTGATGGAGCCGCTGCTCTTCATTTTGGCAAACGGGTCGGGCACCATCTGCTTGGAGCCCGGCCCGTAGCCCGTCTGCTGGAAGGAGAGGAGCCCCGGAAAGAATTCATGGGTGGAGCTCGGCAAGTAGGCCGACTCATGATTGTTATTGTTGTTGTTTTTGTTGGTATCAACGTTGATGCTGGTAACCGGTTTGTCGGCGGGCAGGGCGTTGGTGAGGTCGCTGGAGGCGTCGGATGTCTTGGGAGGGGCATTATCGTCATTCGGGGAGAGGGGTTTGTGGGTGTTGGGGTCAATGCCCCTCTGCCTCAGCTTTTTCTTGATGGATGAGTTCCACAGGTTCTTTATCTCGTTGTCCGTCCTTCCCGGCAGTTGTGCGGCTATTTGTGACCACCTGATTTTTCATTTTTTAATTACGTTTATTTTCTTATAAATATAAATATGAATAGAAAAAAAATAGAAAAAACGGCTACCTGTTGCCAAGCACGGCATGCAGTTCAATTATGAGCTTCTCTTCTTCCGGCGAAAATGTGCCTCTCTTAAGGTCGGGCCTGAGGTAGTTGATCCACCTCAGCCTGCAGCTCTTGCCGCACCTCTGGAGGCCTTCAACATCACCAAAATCCATTTAAAAATAATAATATGTAAACCGGCAAAGGAGAGAGGACTAAATAGTGTTTGAAAAACTGACGATGAATTGATTATTTACCGGCGAGTTTAGGCACCGAGCTCCAGCAGCCGTGGCCGTATTTGGTTATGTGGTTGATGAGCTTCTCGTCTTCCTCTGGTGACCAAAGCCCCTTTCTCAACTTCTGTTTGTAGCAGCAAGAATGCCTACCCATCTTCACCACTCACACTATATATACCAAACTTTTGCCTTTGGACAAAATTTCCTTGCACAAACTCTACTAAATTGAACTATCAGTCAGCAGAGAGAGAGAGAGAGAGAGAGAGAGAGAGAGAGAGAGAGAGAGAGTTGTTGAAAGCGAGATTGCAATAAGCTAGGAATTGAGTCAATAAGAAGGAGGCTTATAAAAAGAGGGGGGTCGCATTAAACAAGGGGAGTGGTAATTAGTTTTTTGGATTATATTCTCTCTTAATCATGATTAAGAAATGTGAAAATTAATGACTTGCTAATGTGTTTTAAGGAAAATATTAATGAGATTGACAGCAGTTGTGGGCACCTAACAACAGATAATTATTTATTTGGTACTCAGTAATTAAAGGGAGCAAGATTGAAATTTAGAGATGGTCACTCCAAAGTTTGGGCAGGGGATTTTAATGTAGTCAATTGCCAAAAAAAAAAAAAAAATTATTTCATGATATTATCAGTATAATTAAATAATATTAAATAATTAATTTTACACATCAATCAATTTTAATTTCCTATTTATCCACTCATATAATTTTAACTACACATTACGTCTTATAATCATTTTTCTCATAGTTTTACATAAAAATTAACTTTAATCATTTTATTTTAAATGTTATTTTACTTTAATATAAATTCAAGATCCCATTCAGAAACTAACCGAACCATTTTTTTTAAATTAATTATGATTAACGAAAAAAAAAAAAAACAATCAAAACTCAATCAAATCCATATTCGCTCACACCATAAAGGATTAACTCAGATTGAGTCTGTCTGAATTAGGATGATTAAAATCATAAACAGTTTTAAATTACCCAATTATTTTCTACCATGTTATATTTAATTTGTCTGTATCAACAGCTGGGCATTAAGCTAATCTGGAGAAAATAATCCAAGATTCTTTAGGCAGAAACAGTCAAAAAAATGTGTAAATGGGGGAGAAGGTATGAGAAATAAGAATTTTCCTATGATTAGTTAAGGCCTGCAATCATAGTAATGGACAATTAATGCTTGATTACAAAATCCTCTCACAGTTGGACATTCTCTTGTCGTTCCTGCAAGGTTCTATTGAATAATACATATGCGTGCATTTATTAATGCATTGTACCCTATTTCTTTAGTAACAGTTTTGCAAGGTGGCCTTGGAGTTACTCCCCTTGTTTTTTATTATTACTAGTACTCCACGGCGCGTTGCGCGGCCTGATATTAAAACATGACGTCAAATAAATTATAAATAAAGAATATTAAGAAAATATGTAGAGAGATAATAAAAAGTAAAATGAAAATTTTATTCATTATATTTTAAAATATTTTCCTAAATATAACATTATTAGTGGATGGATTGTATTCATTATTACCATTATCATCATAAAATAATAATCATCAGACAATAGAGGTCTGTGACTATAAAAACAATAACATATAATGGATGTGATTATAAAATACAATATGTTTTGTAATAAATAGTTTCAAATTAAATAAATTCAACTTAAAAAACATTTTTGATATTCAATGTCTTTGTCACATTGATAACACTCCTTGAAATTTTTGTCTAAAATATTTTTATAATGACATAATTTTTTTTTTCATTAATAACTAAAGATATTATTAATACTATATATAATAATTGAAATAAACATGTACAAAATATGAGTCAATTAAAATTAAAAATATAAATTAAATACTTAAGAAAAAAATACAAAAATGGCTCAATTTCGAACCGCGCATGCGTTTACCTTAAAATTAGGTCCACATATCTATCACTTTTTATAATTTGCCAAATAAACTTAAACTTTGTTTATTTGCAAAATAAGTCCGATGGTGCTCAGAATGACGTGCAAGATCGATCACTTTATGTAAAGTTACAAATATGCACAATAATCGTTAAATGCTCATGTCAATAACTAATTACTTATTTTTTTCCACATAACTCATGCGAAATGTAAGTTAATATACTTTCGTCAAATGATAAGAAAATGACATTTAAATTGTATTATATAAATTATAAAATAGTACAATTTATTTTGATAACACTAACAATTATAATTTATGATAAAGAAAAGTAGTTGATACATTATAGTTTGTATTGAACTTTATCTATTGGAGAAAATCAGTAGCGATAATATATTCTTGTTGTTATCATAAGAGAAAAACATGTGTCATAATAACAAACAATTTGCAATAGTTAACACATTATGCTAATTTTATTACTCGAAATTTATAGTTGCATAATTGTGGATCAATAAAGAGATTAACTGTAGGCAGTCACTTTAGTAAACTTTAGATGACCTCAAATTTAAGTCCAAATAAAACAAATGATATCAACTAAAAAATAAACAAACTATTCAATGATTTAGGACCAAAACTATTACAAAAACCACATATGCACCAAACATTCTATTAAATAATTGAATGATAAATATACATTGTCCTCCTCTGTCTATATAGTCAATATCGTCCATCACTCTTTGTCTCCCTTATGGTTGAGACACACCCACTCTTTCAGTTATTATTATTTTTTTTTTTTATTTCACAATATAATTTCGCACTATTAGTCCATTTCTTACTCGTAAATAAAACCAAATTCGATGTCATGTTCAAACACTAAATCATTTAATTTTTTACTTT